CTCTGGAACGCGGCTGACTGCATTTTATATTATGTCCTGTGTGCTGAAATACACCTATATTTCTTTCTTCTTTCTTTCTCTCTTTCTTTCCTTTCTTCTTTAAAATTTATTTTGTGAGCGAAAAAACGCATGTGAGCAGGGGAGGAGAGAGAGAATCCAAGCAGACTCCGCACTGACAGTGTGGAGTCCAATGTGGGGCTCAAACTCACGAACCGAGATCATGACCTGAGCCAAGATCAGGAGTTGGATGCTTAACCGACTGAGCCACCCAGGCGCCGCAAAATACACCTGTATTTCAAAGACTTAATACGGAGGAGAGATCTTATTAGTAACATTTATGTTGAGTACACGTCAAAATGATAACGTTTGGGCTGTCCTGGGTTCAAGAAACTATAGCATTAAAACAACATTTGTTTCGTTTCAGTTTTTAAAATGTGAGCCCCTGGAGAATCCAACATGGCATGTCTGACTTGCATTGTCTTCCTGCTGGATGCTTAACCTACCAGATTAATCCAGGTGCTTTCCCAGCCTAGAGGAGCCACCTAGAGCTCAGAAGACTTGGCTGGTCCTCTTATTTATTTTTAATTGAGGTGAAGTTCACATAGTATACAATTAACCATTTTATTTTATTTTACTTTTTAATGTTTATTTATTTTTGGGAGAGAGAGAGAGAGTGTGTGAGCGGGGAAGGGGCAGAGAGAGAGGGAGACCCAGAATCCGAAGCAAGCTCCAGGCTCTGAGCTGTCAGCACAGAGCTCGACGTGGGGCTCGAACCCACGAACCGTGAGATCATGACCTGAGCCAGAGTCAGTTGCTTAACTGCCTGAGCCATCCAGGCGCCCCAAGCCATTTTAAAGTATACAGTTCCAAGTGGCACTTAGCACAGTCACGGTTGTGGGGGTTGGGCCACCCCCACCTCTGTCCAGATTTCGACTTTCTCATCCCCTAGAAAAACACGCCCGTTAAATAATCACTCACCATTCTCCTGTCCCCCAGCCCCTGACAACCACTAACCTGCTTCCTGTCTCTGGATTTGCCTACTCTAGACACCTCATTTAAAAGGAATAATACAGTAGGTGACCTTTTAGGATCGCCACCTCTCACTGAGCAGAATGTCCTCCGGGCTCATCCGTGTTGGAGCAGGTGTCAGAACCTCAGTCCTTTTTATGGTTGACTACCACCCTGTCATATAGGTATGCCACCACGTGGGTGCCATCATCTGCTGACGGATGACTGGGTTGTTTCTGCTGTAGCTACTTGAGTAACGCTGCAGCGGACATTTGTGTATACTTTCTGCGTGGTTGTATTGTTTTCATTTCCTGGAATTGCTGAGTCACATGCTAACGGCTGCTTCTTCTTGTTTTTTTATTTATTTTTATTAGTATTACTCTTTTAAATGGGAGATCAAGAAGATTCCTTTCCAATTTTTTAAAAAAATGTTTATTTATCGTTGAGAGAGACAGAGCGCAAGCGGGGGAGGAGCAGAGAGAGACGGAGACAGAATCTGAAGCAGGCTCCGGGCTCCGAGCTGTCAGCACAGAGCCCGATGCAGAGCTCGAACTTACAAACAGTGAGCTCATGACCTGAGCTGAAGTCGGACGCTCAACCGACGGAGCCACCCAGGTGCCCCAATAAATAATTTTAAGTGCTATTTTTGGAAAAAAAAAAAAAAAAAAAAAAAAGTTGCTTTTGTAGTAAAAAAAATTTTTTGATATTATGAATTTGACTGCAGAATTCACCTAGATATTCAAAATAAATTGAGACATCTAATTTGTTAGAAACCCCCAAGCTCTGGGGGTACTGGGGTGGGAGCAGTTTTCTATAAGGTAACGGTGTTTCCTGTAAAATCCCAGAAGCTCTTCCCTAGGCAATTCATCTATCCTTCCACGTTCATCTGACACTTCTTAGACACTGCCCGTGAGGTGACTGAGGGAGAGTCTAGGGTGGAGGGGGCCGAGGGGGGATCTCAGGGCTGGGGGAGAGAGAGGGAGGAACGAAACCTATGCTCCACACACTCCCGGCAGGTGCCGGGAAGCAGAAGGCGGGAGCTATACGGAAGGTTCTTGAGCTCAGCCCTGTCTGGACCACAGGATGACTTTGCTGAGGTGACAAGCATGGGAGCTTGATCACGGAAGGTGTGGAAACAGTCTGGGGCTCTGAGGCCCACCCTGTCCGTGCCCTGGCCCACTATGTGACCTGGGAGGAACAAAGGCAAGGTGCCAGACTGCACAACTGACCCACACGGCCTGCTGTCCTCTGACCTGAGGGTCTCAAAGGCAGGAATGGAGTCTGTGACCTCGTGTCACTATTCTTCAAAGCCGGCTGCCAGACACTGTGTCTGTCCTGGAGGAGGCCGCCCAGGCTCACGGAAATGTCAAGTGCCCGTCTTTGCTCTGGGCTGACATCACCTCTGCGTGGGAGCAAAGCGCGTGCTCATGCCGAGCCTGTCTGGTTTGGCAGTGATCTGTGTTCTTGTTTGGTTTCAAAATAGGGGGCCCAGAAGGCAAAACCATGAAAGATGCCCTTGTTGGAAGAAGTGTTCAGGAGCCCAGCTGATGGCCTCCCTCTGGGCTTTGGCTGAGAAGAGGCAAGAGTCACACACCCAGTCCCCAACGTCTGGGTTCCTAGGGGAGGCTGGAGGCCCCCCTGCTACCTGGGAAGCCCCAGGTAGAGCCCTCATTAGGCGACTTTATCGTGGGGGGCGGGGAGTGGGGGGAAAGGGGCAGCAATCTCGGCTAACGCTCTTGTAACACAGCGCAGTCCATTTCCACATTTGCAGGGAAGGGCCATTCTCACTTCTCATAGCTTTGGCGACTCAGCATGTCAGGCGATCTTATGAAGAAGTCGGTTGGATCCTCATATTACAGACGAGGAAACAGAGGCTCAGCATGAGCAAGGAGCTTGTCCAAGGTCACGCAGGTCATCCCAAACTCATTTAACATACATGTGAGGGGCTCCTATGTGGCTGGCACTGACCTTGGGGCTCGGACCCAACGGAATAAGGTAGACAAAGTTCCCCCTCTCACAGCGTGGACATCGTGGCTGAGAGAGACAACACAGGTAAACAAGCCAGAACGTCAAGAGTCTCTGTGAAGCGGATTAAACAGGGAGATGTGGCAGGATGTGGCTGGCGTGGGACCAGGGCAGGCCTCTGCCAGGAGGCAGCATCTGAGCTGAGGTCTGAATGACAGGAAGGAGCCAGCCGTGTAAAGAGCCCGATCAGGTGCTTTTCCCTAGGACGTTCCGGCAGCCTGAGTGGCCCCCGACGGGTCTCACTGTCAGCGTCAGCAGCGGTGGGATCCCCCGCCAACAGGTGCATCGTGGAGTTGGCTCTGCGGTCCGGCTGCAGGGCCAGTTGGTGAGAACTCGAGGGACCAGATGAAGGCTGGAAACAGGAGAACAAATCCTAGTGAGGATGGCCCAAGACAGTCCATGGAGCTCCTGGTGTTGCCAGGTGTCCCCACTGCCTGCTCACCTGCCTCGGGTCCCGGGATGGACGGCAGCTCTCGAAGGCCTAGCTCTTCTGGTCTGATCCAGGCCAGAGCCTCAAACAAGCCTCAGTTCTGTCCTGTGAGGGGACCAGATGTCTTCAAGGGACAGGTGGACACAGGCGGTGGCTGGGCTTTCTCTGGTTCTATTTGATCCAGGCCCCAGGGAAACAGTGCTCTCCCCAGCGAGGTGGGGGGGGATGGTTAAAGGTCAAGGCTGGAGGGAGGGGGGGCCCTGCTGGCTTGGCCCAGCGCCGGCCTTGGCCGTCTGCCTGCCTTGTGCGTCAGCGTGGGCCTGTGGCCTCGCAGCTTTGCCTGGCTGCCCTGGTTCTCCTCCTGGAACTGACCCTTGCCGTTTCTGAAATCCTAAGATTCCTCAACTACCCCTCTCTGCTTCATGGCTTAATCCACCAAAGGGAACCAGGAGGCTGACCCGGTGCCCCTTTCGGCCCCAGGAGGCAGGCTCAAGTGGACTGAAGGACACCGAGGGTGGGGAACAGGGAACACAAAGCCGGCAGAGGGCAGTGCCTTGCCCCCACTCCTGGGACGGAGCAGGTGCTACGAGAGACCCAGGGGCCTAGGGCTTGGCTAGGGCCACTTGCGGCGGGGATTATGCCCACCTGCCTGTGCCTCAGTCGCTCTGAAAGAAGGTACGCACACCACCTCCCTCTCAGGGTGCTGGGCTGACACCGGCCTCCAGAAGGACTCGGGGGCCAGCAGTGCTATGGGCCTCCCGAGGGACAGCTGGAGAAGCTGAGGGGGAGAGAGCCTGGAAGACGGTTCTGCAGGCTCTCGGCCCAGAGCCCCTTCCCGGCAGAGGGGCGGGGGCACCGGGAGCCTTAGACGCCGCCATCCAAACCCTGACCTTTTGCTTTTGTTTCTAAGCAGACGCTCTTGTTAGAGGGGAAGTTCTTAATTCCTACAAAGCAGGAAGAGGCCAGTATTTATGGAAAGTCCTCCACCCAAACAAAACCAAAACAAAGCAGAGCAACTCCCTGGATGTCCACAAACTGCTGACAGGGGGAGGGCAGTGTCCTAGTGACCTGCAGCTCTGTCGGCCACACCACTGCCCACAGGGCCTAGAGAACTGTCACCCTCTCCAGATGTGCGGGGACAGGGATGCCGGACAACCTAGCGCTCTCCCCTTGGGCGGTGAGGCTGGCAGGCCGGGTCCCACCAGAAGGCTGGGCCTCGCATCCGCGCTCTGCCACCGCCCAGCAAGCGAGCTGGGGCCTCCGGCTGCCGACGGGGACGGGGAGGCTCCACCTCCCAAGGCCGCGGCGATGGGAGGCCTCAGTAACTGCACTTTTTTTTTTTTAATTTTTATTTTTAGAGAAAGAGAGGGAGGAAGCAGGGGAGAGAGAATCTCAAGCGGGCTCCACGCTCACCATGAGGCCTGACGCAGGGCTTGATCCCACGGCCCTGGGATCAGGACCTGAGCCGAAATCAAGAGTCAGATGCTCTATGGACGGCGCCAGCCCGGCGCCCCCGAAGCACTGTGAACGCACGTTGTGCAAGACCACCAGTTATCCTTCCTTTATTGCAGTAAAAAAGTGATTCTATTTCTAGAACCAAACAGCATCACAGAGACATTCCTAGGAGCCTGACAAGAAAAGAACGCTCTTTGTTCGCAAGCCCTTGTGTCACCTGCGCAACAGACACAGCTCCGTGGTCAGGGTCCCCGCCAAGAGGCGCCGGTCCTCCTCGGGCACGGCCCCCTCGGAAACTGCCCCCTGCCCCCCAGCGCAGCACCCTGGGCCCCGCTCGGCTGCGGGGAGCACCGCAGAGCGAGCAGGGCCTCAGCACTGGCCTCCGATCATCCAGAGTCTGGGCACCCTGGAGGCCGCACGTGGCGGTGGCCCCTGGTGAGCTGGGTCTGGGGTGTCGTGGGCCAGGGTCCTGGGAGCCGGGGCGGGGCAGAGGGGCCCGGGGAGGCCTCAGACCCCGGAGAAAAGGTCTGAGTGCGGCTCCATCACCCACTGTGGGAGTCGGGCGGGCTGTGGGCCTCCTGCCTCCTCTTCCCCAAGTGGGGGGCGGCACTCCTGGCCCACAGCCCTAGCGGCGGCCTCTGCCCACCGACAGCAGAGAGCACATGTGATACGGTCTCAGGGCCTGGGCCGGTCTGCTCCTGTCCCCAAGTGTGTGTCAAAGCGGTGCGTGTCTCTGAAGCCCTCGGTCACCCGTGACAGCTGGTATCCAAAACCTCTTCCCTTCTGGAAGTGTTCCCCACTGTTCTTTCAAACGAGCCCCCAGGCCTGACTCGTGACCTGTTTTTTCCTTACAGCCGATAGAACTTGTCGTTGGCGGTAAAGCCGGCTAATTTTAGCAGCTCCCCGGTCCGGGGCCTTCCTCGGCCCGGGAAGGGAGACAGCAGAGCCAGCTCACCCCGACCCAGGGCCTCCCCATTCCTGGAGGGGCCTGACAAGAGCGGCCACCGTCCCCGCTCGGTCTGCGCGCATCCTGCCCCCTCTGGGGGGCTCCTGTTGGATCAGTTCCCTCTCGTTCCTTTCCGCTGGACCTGCCCCTGTGCAGGCCACCCCAGGCTCCCGGCGCTTCCCCTGGTCTCCCCGAACATTTGCCACTGAAAACCACCCAGGCAGGCCCAGGGACGGGGGCAGGCTTTGAAGGTGCAGATGCCAACCAGGGTTCCACGCGGAGGCTGAAGAAGAAAGGGGGGTGGGGGGGGGACACCGCCCACTGGTGAGGGGGCAGTCGCAGTGGCCACGGGCTCTTCCGGGGAAGGTGGTGGCCTTGAGAAAGCCGTGGCTGCCGGGCTCGTGGCATGCAGGGTCGCAGGAGAACTCCCCACGCTCCGTCCCAAGTGGCGGGCTTGCGGGCCAGCGCGGTTCCTGCACTGAGCCAGTGTTGTGAGACCACAGTGGTCCTGTGTCTGCCCAAGGAAGTGGCCTCCGGCTCTCTGTGCGGTGACAAGTCTGCACTGGTGCTCTCTCAGAGAATGTTGTCTGCAGCACCAAGCACTGTGTGGGCTGAGAGTATGGTGTAGGCTCAGGACCGGGCACACCGGCCCCCACGGGCACAGGCAAGTGGTAGGAAAAGGACCATCCCGCCCCAGAGCTGGGCCCCCTTGTCCCCATGCAAGGTCCTGCGTGGGCCACATTCCGCGGTCAGGGCTATGGCGCCGTCATCACACTCTGCTCGCCATGGTCCACGCTCCAGAGACGGTAAAACTCGGCAAAGTCCACATAGGGCTCGACCCGGCCATCCTCCCCGGGCGGGAGCGAGTGGGCAGGCCGGGAGCGGAAGAGGCCCCCGTCTGAGCTGGAGCTGCTGCTCTGGGTGTGCGTGTTGGTGGACTGCAGGGTCAGGGTCGGGCTCTGGCTGTGGGGACAGGGGAGACTCAGTCAAGGACCCTGGCTTCTACCCTACGACAGAGAGGCCCCTGCCTCAGCCGGCCCCTCAGGCCACAAGAGCCAGACCAGCCAGAGATTCTTAGGAGCTACTGACAAAAAAAAAAAAAAAAAAAATCAAATGTCTTTTCCAAGTTCTAGCTATAGGCGGCTACTTAAGTTAACTAGAATTTGGTGCACCTGGGTGGCTCAGTCGGTTGCGGGTCTGACTTCGGCCCAGGCCTGATCTCACGGTTCGTGAATTCAAGCCCCAAGTCAGGCTCTGTGCTGACATCTCGGAGCCTGGAACCTGCTTCAGATTCTGTGTCTCCTTCTCTCTCTGCCCCTCCCCCACTCACACTGTGTCTCTGTGTCTCCGTGTGTCTGTCTCTCTCTCTCTCTCTCTCTCTCAAAAATAAACATTAAAAAAAAAAAAGTCAAGTTAACTAGAATTTAATAGAATGGATCACCCGGTTCAAGGGCTTGATGGCCATGCACCCTAGTGGCTCCCGTATAGGACACGGGACATTCCCACCCTCAGAGCTGCACTGAGCTAGAGGGGGTCCATTCCAGCTTCTCCAGATCTCACTGATCACAGCCAGGAAGGATTCTTCTCCCAAAAAACTCACTCACTCCTTCTCTCCCTCACACTGGCTGGGTAGGGACGGGCCCCTGTCGTCAGAGCTCCCTGGGCACCCCCCCCACCCCCCGTCACAGAACGCCTAACAGCCGGGTATCACCTGCCCACCCGCCCTCCTGCACACTCCCAGCACTGCCCAGCCCCCAGCACCAGCTCGCCCACAGTGGGCCCTGACTAGTGCTCAGATGCAGGGCCCTGAGGAGTCAGAGGTGCAGAAGGACGGCTGGCTCTCCCGCCTGCCCTGTGACCACTGCTATCACACTCTGCCTCTGTGGGCACCACTCACCCTGCAGGGGTGGGGGGGGGGCGCTCCAATGCACTCGAGATGCCTGCCGCTCAGCAGCCCAGCAGGACCCCTGGGCGCACGTGGGGGCGGGGAGATGGGAAGGCCCCCTGGGAGGCAGTGGCCACTCCCTCCCAAAGGGCCTTTCCGATTGGCCACATCCTCCGAGTGGGCTGGCTGTGGCATCCCTGTTATTCTGTGCAGGGCTGGAATGTGGAAACTGGAGCCCTGGGTCCCCTGGCGGGGTGGGGGTTGGGGGGGGGGTGGACATTCCACGGAAGTAGAGGTGGGGGAGAGACACCAGACCTGTGAGGCAGGTCTGCAGTGAGGAGGGGCCAGCCCACTCACTCCTGGGCTCCAGGCCTCCCGCTGCCTCCACCACTCCCCCTGCTTTCAACTAGACGACTCCCTTTAAAGCTAAAATGAGACACCAGTCAGAGCACCGGCTCTGGCAAGCAGCAAGCCGGGACAGGCCAGACAATGTCCCCCAAGCATGACGCCACCGGGGAGGCAGACCTGCATCGCGTGCTCCAAGACGGGCAAAGATGAGAAAAGAGAAAAGAACAGAACCTTCCCATAAGTGAAAACTAATCTGTGGGACCCACAGGAAAACACGACCAGCGGGCCGTCCGCATCAGCGGCCCGTCTCCTCCCAGCCCCCCTCATCTGCTCTGCCCCTGAACCTCCACCCCTCCCAGGCCCGGCTTCAGTGAGCTGTGGGAACTCGCAGGGCTGTGTCCTCCGGCCTCTACATCTGGGGGAAGCCCGGGGAAGGGGCCGGGGAATTTGAGAGGTACGGGGCACTAGCACACCCCACCCAACGTGGCTCGGCCGGGACTCGGCCCCACGGCCATTCGTGTCCAGGTCCGAGGGTCCTCCCGGGAGGTGGGCCCGAGGGCGCCCGGGGTGAGGGGAGGGCTTACTTGGTGAGGGTGGGGGTGGCCTCATCCAGGGTGGAGGCGCTGTGGGCCCCATTGACCAGCTGGCCCTGGGAGGGCATGACGAGGGAGAGGGTCACGCTGGTCTTGCTGGTGCTCTGGGCGCTGGAGTACGGCACAGACACGGGATACACGCGGCCTCCTGTAGCTCAGGGAGAGAGAGAGAGAGAGAGAGAGAGAGCCGGGGGCTGCCTGCCGCCGCCGGGGGGGGGGGGGGTGGTCCCTGGCGTGGTGGGAACAGGGCTACTGCAGGGCCTAACAGGGACAGCGTCTGAGGTGCCGAGGAGGGAGGCATGGTCCTCTGCCCCTTGGGACAGCGAAGGGACGTCTGTCTCACGGCAGACTCTTCTAGGCGGGCAGGGAGATCCTCTCGGCAACAACGCACGGCCGCTGCTCAAAGCGGGAAGAGTGAGTGCCGAGCAGGCTCAAGGAAAGGGTTACTGCCTGGCTTCCCACGACGCTTTCAGCCAAGGGGTAGGCTGAGGTCGGCCCAATGAAAATATGGTTGCAATAACAACAAGCTAGAGAAAACTCCAGTAACCCCAGTGTCCGTGGGAGAACAAATGCATCTGTGCTGCCTGCGCGCTAAGGCTGGCTCGTTTGAAAAAAGAAAAGGAAGCGCAGCCCCTAGGAACCGATGGTCGTGACACTGAGCAGCACTGGGAGAGACACAAAAAAGAACCATCGCCTCTCTTCCCGAGCAAGCCGACTGCAGAATTACAAAGGCAGAAAAGGAAGCGTCTCGCCCCACCCCCGACACGGTCCAGGGTCAGAGCCAGGTTTCGGGGTACCCTCTGACCACAGGCCTGACCTCGCCTCTGTCTCTTCCTTCTAGAACCTCAGTTCTTCAGTAGAAGGGATGCCATCTGTCTCTAGGGATTTAGGGACTAAAGGAACTACATGGGTAGAGTGCCAGGCACACACCAGTGGCAGCCGTCACCCCTGTTATGTGGCTTCGAGGCTTGGCAAAGTGCTTGTCCACACACTCAGGTCTTTAGGAGGTAGGCGGGCAGGTGCTATAATCCACATTCACAGGCAAAAGGGAAAAAAAAAAAAGCTGAACTCAGCTCGGAGAGGCTTAAAGTCAGAGAGCCCGGATTGTAGCCAGGCCAGGCCCCTGGCTCCGTGTCCACTGCCGGCAGCAAAGCCCCCCACAGCCCCGGCCGGCTTCCTCCCACGGCCTCCTGTCCATGCTGTGCGCATACCTGGGGCCGGGGACGCTGCGGGCTGGCTCATCTCGCCTAGTGGGTAGCCGAAGTTCCTCACCAGCAAGGTCATGTCCTCGTGCCTGGGGCAGAACTTGGCACGCTCCCCACCACTGGCAAAGGTGTCACCGTGGATGCGCTTCACCCGGTCCACCACGGCCTGGGCCACCGCATCCAAGGAAGTCTGCTTGGCGAACTCAGTGTCGATCATGGCGGCGATCTCCTGGAGGAGGGGGATGGACCTGGTGAGGAATGGGGTGGGGCCCCTGGACTGTGGGCCGCAACTCCAGAGCCTAATCAGGATGCTTACGGGGCATCAGCCAAACAGGTGAAGGAAGTCACCACCAGTCAAGCCTGTAAGCCGAGCTTTTCAAGGTATTCAGGATAATTCTTCTGGAACTTTCTCATTAGTAAAGGTGTGACCTTGTGATTTCTCTGAGTATTGGCCTCCACACCAAAACAATGGGGGCTAATGTCCACCTCGCTACGTTATTAAGGGAATTAAAAAACACAATGGATGGGAGGACATTCTGGAGACCACTAAAAAGTGCCGAATGAATTGTCGTTATTACTAAGCTTCCTTTCCTGGAACTTACTGTAGGCTACGATATGCCGTTTATACTAGAAAGTGGGAGTACAGAGTGAAGGTGGGCCCTGTCCTCAGAGAAATCCACTATCCAGTTTTTTCTAGAACCCAGCAAAAGCCACTAGATAATTCTATGGCAAAAACCAAAACTAAAAAATCACACTGACAGTAAGATCACAGACACAAACTCCTCTACGGGATGGCTGGCCAGAGTCTCTTAGAAGTAAAGTAGGGGGGCTGGGGCAGGTCACAGGAAGTGACTGAGCCCCATCCGGGGTGGGCTCGGCTCTGTCGCTGTCACTTCAGGCAAGACCCTGAACTCTGTGAGCCCCAAGTTCCTTACCTCAATGTGTCAGTGAGCCCCTGCCTCCTGTGCTACAAGGCTACTGGCAGGGACGATAAGATAAAACAGGTGAAAAATCTTGAACACGGGTTATCAGGAGACAGGCATAAGTTTTCCGCGTGATTTTTAATTAGAAAGGACAAAGTAGAAAAGGTTACCTTCCTACAGGAATTGCAAATGGAAGGAGAAACACAGCCTGAATTTACTATCCAAGGTCAGGGAAAGGCAGCCTCCCTGCAAAACCATCCTGAAGTGACTGTCTCAAAGCCATGCTTTAGTGACAACTATCTGACACGTGTGTTCCAAGTGCAGCGAAAATAAGCAGCTCCCACTGGCTGGGGAACCTATCACACCTGGCCCTCAACACAATCCCCAAAAGCTAGGTGTTATCACCCCATCTCGGAGATGAGAAGCAAACTATAATCCGGGGGCTCAGCTCAGAGGGGAGGGAAGGGGAGGGAGGGGAGGGGGCCAAGGGAGGCTGAGGCACAGGCCACACCCCTCTGGGCTCTCGTCCTCCGTCCAGGGCCCTTCCTAGACAGACTTCAGAACAATTTGCCCATGGACATTCACTTCCTTCTCTCCCTCTTCCCCTCCGGCTGTGCTCAGCGCCGTGGGGACTGACCCTGCTTCAAGCCCAGAACAAGTACAGCTTTGGGTGGGATGGGTGTTCTTGGAGCTCTGAACCTTTTCTCCCCCCGGCTTTGAATGCAGAGAAGCTGTCCAGGGCTGGCATTCGAGAGCTAGAGCTCTGGGTCCCGAAGCACTTTGGAGCCAAGCAGAAGGGCTGGCTGGGCCCCCGGGGGAGCTTGCCACTCTGCGGGCCGGCCGGCAGGGCTCGGCCCGGGCCCGGCTCACCTGGTTGGCCTGCCCAGGCCCGTGGGCTGCCTCCAGGGCCTTGTACAGCCCCTCCGACATCAGCACCAGGAAGCCGGTCACCCCCTCCAGGGGCTGTGCACCGTGGATCTCGGGTTCTGCAATGATAGGCTTGGACTTGGCAGCACTGTAGGAAGAGAGTTGGGGGAGAGCCGTGCTCAGAAGGGCCCCCAGAGGACATTTTTCTGCGAAGGGCCAGAATCTACCCAGAATGTAAACTAAAACGCACATCTGACAAGAGGAAAAGAAACAGGAAAGAGAAAATAGGAAAACAGACCTGTCTTCTGAGGGCCAGGAAAGCGAGTGGGGTAGCTGGGTCAGGACAGCGAAGGTCGGGCACCCACTCCCGACCCTGGTCGACATCTCCTGTCCACAGAGCCTGTGCAGTGGCAGTGACGACGGCGAGAGGGGGTGGATCGCTTTCAGAAGCCCACTCCTCCTGGGCTCTTCCAGAACAAGTATCCAAGCCGACTCAGATGCCACGTACGCGTCCCCCCCCCCTCCCCCCCGCACCGGGACCCTTAATGGAGGCGCTGGCAGAGTCAGCGAATGTCACAGAACTCTAACACGTGCGTGTGCGCACGGAGCCAAGCAGAAGGGTTCCCGGCAACAGCACTCAGAGGAGCAAAGTCTGGAAACGTCCTGGGAGCCCATGAGTAGGGGCCGGTGAGGTGAGCGCTGACGCAGCCACACTCTGGGACTCCGCAGCCCACACCCCGCCCTCAGGGACAGAGGAGCGGCACCCGTCAGGGAATAAGTGAGGTGCGGTGCTCTGGAAAGCAGATGCCAGCACTTGTGGGTGCTTTAAAAAGGATGCTTTTGGGGCGCCCAGATGGCTCAGTCAGTAGAGTGTCCGACTTCGGCTCAGGTCACGATCTCGCGGTCCGTGAGTTCGAGCCCCACGTCGGGCTCCGTGCTGACCGCTCGGAGCCTGGAGCCTGCTTCGGATTCTGTGTCTCCCTCTCTCTCTGCTCCTGCCCTGCTCATGCTCGCTCTCTCTCAAAAATAAACATTAAAAAGGATGCTTGCCCCGTCCATGCACACGCACACACACACACACACACGCACATGTGCACGTGGACACGATACACAAGAAACCAGCAGCTTCTGGGGAAGGAGTCCAGCCTTGCGGCAGGAGGAAAACTTACTTTTCGTTGTATACCTTTGGCGCTATTTGAATTGTTCTAAACTACATGTGTACCTTCCAATTAAGCAAACAGAACTCCTAAGCAAACAGAACCCCACAAATCAGAGACAAAGGTTTCCAAACTCAATTGCCTAAATTTGGTGAGAGTAAGGAGTTTTAATTCCTGCTTTCTGGGCCACGACGAGCCTGGCTCTGACGCCAGGGTGTTTGGTATGATTCCCCCATGGCTCCCCCATCAAATACCGCGATGGCAACACACACACGCACACACAAGCCTATTTTCCCAGTCAATGTTAAGGATGTTGCTCTGGATTCAGGAGGCCTGGGTTCGAGTCCTGCCTCGGCCCCCTGCTAGCCCTGTGACCAGGCAGACTACCATTTCCTCACAAGAACACAGCTTTGGGACAACAAGCTCACAAGACCTGAGTAGGGACTGAGTAAGAACGCACGTAAAGAGCTGGGCACAGGCTTGGTACAATGAAGGCCCACGATCATCATCGCGGCCCATCTGCTGCTACGAGCACTGGGTGGCACCCACAAGGGCAGTGTCCTCCGAGGGCTGTGTGCAATTTGTCTCACACCTCTGCCCCGGCCCCAGCCACGGACAGCACTGACCAGCAGGTCTTTGGTCCGTCCCTATCCACACCAGGCAGCTCGTGCCAACGCCGTCCTCTTATGTCAGGCCCTGTGGCACTGGTCGCCACGCTTGGCTTTGACCCAGCTCCCCACCATGACCCAGTGTGATAACCCTGCTCGTAACCAGAGTCCGGACACCAAGATAAGGGCCTGAGCTTAGGATTCCCGCCGTAAGTTCCCGCTTTGCCGCTCCTGGCAGCACCTTTTAAAATAACCACTTAGAATTAAGGCTTCCAAAAGCAGTGACCTCCACCCCAACCACCTTGAAAGTAATAGGTGCTTGCTACCCTACGCTAGAACCCCAACTCCCGGTTCGCTGGGTTTAGGGCCACACGCCAACATCTCTGGGAGGAAGAAAGGTCTTCTTGGGCTCTGAATTACCTCAAACTACCTTTTGTCCCTAGAGCCTAAAGTCTGCTTTTGCCCAGGCCCTCTGGCCTTACAAACAAACAGGGGGCAGCTGGATGGGCCACCTACCTCAGTAGGTCGATGTCAGCGTAGCCGTACTTGACCTTGTAATCCCCGATGCGCCTGGTGCTCTCCTGCCCACAGATGACCCCCACTTGCTTGATCTTTCCTGCATCCAAACCTGCCAGAGGGAGGACAAAGGATCCCAGATCTTGTCCGTCATGAGAAACTCAAGCAAGGGGATCCAGACACAGCCACAAAAACAAGGCAATGAAGACCCAGCGAACAGAGAATGAAGTCACACCAGGACGGCCTGGAGAGCGGCTACCCCGAAGCGCCCCGGGGTCCCCAGAGCCCAGCCCCATCAGAACGCCCCCTCACTCAGCGGCCTGGGCTGCAGAGCTCCCTGGGAAGTCGGGGGGAGGGGGCAGCTAGGCCGAGGTAGCTGCAATCCTGGGACTTCTTTGGCCTTTTAGTCTCCGCCGATCACAGTACCTACCGCACGCTCACTACTCTCGCGAACACTTTACACATACGGACTCTCGACCCTCACAACGCCCCAAGACAGGTGTTACTATGATTCTCATTACACAGATGGGGAAACTGAGGCACAGAAAACTTGGGAAATTGTGCGTATCACCAGCTAGTAAGGGGCAGAGCTGGGATCCACCCCCAAGGTCACGGCCCAAGCAAGCCCTTCACGCCTCTCTCTACGTGGACACCGGAAGAGGACGCAGGGGGAGCCGTGGAGGGGTCGGCCCTACCCTCGCTCACCCAGCTGAGAGAGGCGGAAGAGCTCGTCCTCGTTCTCCGTGGTGTGGTCCACGTTCAGCTGGGTCACCTGCAGCCCGTCCACCGTGGATTTGCATAAAAGGGCACGGTTCGTACCTGCAGCACAATTTGAGCGGCTGAGCAAAGTCTGGGTGCAGCGAGGGGCAGGACACGTTGAGCAGAGAGAGAAAAGTCAGGCATCTCACACAAGGAAATCCTTGAAACGAGCAAAGAAAATAGGCTTAGACCACTGGGGTGAGTCACCAGTCAGGGCGTGCTGATGATATTAAGGAATTAGGTTAAACTTTTCCAGTGTCATCCTAGGATGATTAGGATTTTAGTAAGAGACCTTTTCTCTAGGGAGACATACTGAAATATCTACAAAGAGAAAACGACACGATGTCTGGGGTTTGTGGGGACAAAGGGCGGCAGAGGAAATGAGACTGGCCCCAAGGAGGTGATCGCTGTGGCCAAGGTATGGGCACACGGGGGTTCACTACGTGCTTATCTTTTTACATTTTTTAATTCTGTCCACAATGAAATCCAAATGTCCCTGTGGCCCCTCACCCAGCCCGTCTCGCCGCCCTTTGTGGGATGCCGAGTGGGTGTTCTAGAGCCAGGCAACCTCTTCCTGAAGGGGAAGCCACTGAGGCGACCCAGAGAGGGGGCGCAACTCGCCCAGAGTCAGTTGGGGCAGGGCGGGGACTAAAGCCGGGACGCCTGCCTCCTAGCTGGTACCTCCAGCTCCCCGGGCTGGGACTGGGACGCTCCTGCGGAGAAACAGGGAGACACACCCAACAGTCTCAGGAGACGCGGGCTGGAGGGCTGACGTGTCTGGGAAGCGGACAGTCCAAAGAACACACAGACCTTGAGGCTACCTCTTGCCCAGCACTCCCCGCCCGGGGACGGGTAGGCGGCTCACCGACGTTGGCGACATAGAGCCTGTTGTTGAGAAGGACCGCCACAACAGCCATGGCTCCTCCCGAAATCTCCCTCTCCAGTGCCTTGAGTCTTTCGAGGATCTTCTGGTACTGAGGAAGCAGCTGGTGCTGAGGGACACCCTACAGGCCGTCATCAGGGGGTCAGAGCAGGCCGGGTCCTCGGAGACCATCTCACCAGCCACCCCCTCCCTTCGAAGGCAAGGATCTGAGGTCCGGGCCAGGATGAAGCCGCACTGTAGCCCCAGGCAGGCTTCTTGCAGGAAAGCCAGACATGACCCGACTTGTGCCGTCAGTTCTGAAAGTGCCGGTGGCTGATGTGAGCGGGTGGGTGACGGGGCTACGCACAGGGTGAGGTCGGGGGATGAACCGGAAGGGCCTTTCCTCATATTCTTCACTGCCCGCCCCATGCTGGGCCGGAGTGAAGCTGCCGGCATGGGCCGGGGAGGCCTCTTGCAAGGGCCCCTGCGAACACATCGTCCCCCAGTCCCTCAGGCAGGAACGAGTCTGTCACCCAGTCCCCTGAATCCTGCTGCTCTGGCCTAGTCGTGTCAGTGGCCTGACAGTGACATGGAAGGGAAGTCCTTGCTCCTAGCAAAGCCAGGCCTTGGCGTGCTCCCCCCCCCTCCCCCCACCGCCGGGGAGCAGGCCGGGGGATTACCTCTGGCAGCTGGGACTGGAGGCTGGCCTTCTCAGCCAATGCGTCATCAATGGACTCCAGGAAGCTCCTCTCCACCACATCAAAGGCCTGGAGGCAGAGGACAGGGAGGGGTGTCAGGGCACAGGCCAGTTCAAAATACCACCGTCACCAGATACTGAAATGCGTCCTATTAATAGTGACAAACTCTGTATTAACTGCAGGTGGTCACGTGATGCGGGCTTCACAGGGAGCTCTGCAAGGCTACGTCTCCTAGAGAGCAACCTCCGGCAGAGACATCAGCTCCATGGGGCTGGTCGCTGCTAAGGTGGCACCGTGGAGACCAGAGAGGCAGGAGGCGGCGCAGGAGTTACCAGCAAGGCTGGGAATCCGGTCACCGGGGGTGAAGCCCACGTCCGCCACCTGCCCGCTGGGCAGTCTCCACCTCCTCATCCACGTGGGAGGCAAGCGCTACTCTGAAGGTGACGGAGACAATGCACCCTGTGCCCCCAAACCCTGGCTCAGAGTAAGTCTAGATCAGTGCCACCTAGTATCGCTACTACGTCCTGCCAGTCCCTCGACGCCGGTCACATGGCTGCCTTTGAGGTGGGGAGGGTGCAGCTAGAGTCACTGGCGCGGGGCCCTGAGGCCACGGAGGCCTCTGGCCCAGGTGCTGATGCTGGAAAACGGCCGAGAACAGTTTTCGAGGAACAGGAATCCATCCTTCTCATCTTAAAGTAAGTGTCTCTGGACGAGCTTCCAACAAGAGGTGCCAGGAACAAGAGCTCCAGAACGGCCCACAGAAACCAGAACCAGCCAATGAGCACCCGCGAGGAGCAGGGCCCAGCGGTGCCGGCAGCCACCGGAGACTGAGCACCCGAGCCTCACCTGGAGGAACGGGATCACCCTCGGTTACCCTGTTTCTGCCCGAGCTCAGCCCCCGCCCACTGCACCCGTGGGTCTGAGGCGGCATCCCTAACGCCCCTCCCCCAGGAGCATCTCCTCCACAGCCCACCCTGCAGGTCAAGGGGAAGGACCGCAGCTGGCTGGCTGCCCGGTCCTGCGCTCTGGGAAGGTGGGGAGCCCCTGTTCTCATAAAACAACTTTGTCCTTCTGAGTTGCTGCCTCGGCGTCTGCCAGTGTGATAACCCTGCTCGTAACCAGAGTCTGGACACCAAGATAAGGGTCTGAGCTTAGGATTCCCGCCGTAAGTTCCCGCGTCGCTGCTCCTGGCAGCATCTTTTAAAATAACCACTTAGAATTAAGGCTACAAAAAGTAATGAGCTCCACCGCCACCAACCTGGAAGTAATAGGTGCTCGCTACCCTGCTCTTTATCTCCTGCTGGCTCTGGACTCAGGAGGGAGGACTGTCCTCCTCCCCAGGCCAGGGGCGCCCCCTTGCTTCGGAATCTGTAAGTAATAATAAATCTGTGACACTACCTCCTTTCTGGGGCGGTACTGAGACTGTGCCTTCAATCAAAACAGCCCTCACGGGTCTCACATCCCCAGAGGGGACATGTGCTTGGATGCTGAGGGAGCTACCTGCTGACCCCGTGTCATCAGGTTATAATCTACGTAATCTTAATTCAATATCCCAGCTCTGGCTTCTCAATACCATTGGTGACAAGGAGAGGATCTCCTTTTTTTTTTTTTTTTTTTTAATTTAATTTGAGAGAGAGAGAGAATGAATCTTAAGCAGGCTCCATGCTCAGCACAGAGCCCAATGCTGGGCTCCATCCCACAACCCTGGGATCGTGGCCTGAGCTGAAATCAAGAGCCGGCCACTCACCCAACTGAGCCTCCCAGGTGCCCTGCAGTCTGTACCCTGTACGATGCCTCGGGGCTGTGAATGGCTCACAAACTTCCTCTCCCGGACGGACAGGGCTCTCTGGGAAGGAAGCACTGCTTGCTGGCAGTCCGTGGCGTTGCTTGGCACTGCCTCTGGGTGTTGCCACAAATCCCCACCCTAAGTTGTTACGCTGTAAAAGATCGGACTCCCCTGCAGAGGCCGACCGGCAGGCCCCAATCTGAGGTGGCTGTGTTTCCCATTAGTCTCTAAAGGAGACCCCACTGGGTGTCTGGTCTGGAGGTGACTGGTTACGATCGCACGCGAAAGCTGAGCCACAGTCAGCTAACTAGGACGGAAGGACTCTGCCTCCTTCCCAGCAGGGGCGCAGGCCGTATGGCCCTGGAAGCCAAAGAGAGTTCCCCTAGGTTAGTGCTGGAAAGGGAGGCTGGCGGCTGGGGCCACTGTGCTGGTGTTTGGGGCTGGGTGTTAAGCTTGGGCAGCCGGCCCCAACCGGTGACAGAGGCAACTCCACCAGGGGCATCCCGGCACCCCGGGCCAGCGCCTCTGGTGTTGCTGCCTTCCCTGCCGCTGTCGCAGATCGTCCCCTAACCCCACGGGATACTGGCAGTCCCACCCCTGGCGTGGTAGAGCAAAACGCACCCTCGCTAAAAGCAGGGCCCCCGAGCACACGGTACCAGCTCCTCCCAAGTCCCCAAAGGAGGTTGAAAATCGACTAGACTCTCGTAAGAACCCCGCTCACGTGGCTTGGGCCTTACTGGGCACAATGGCATATTGCACCCAACTGCTCTTGCTACATTCCCGGGGCCGGGGGCCTCTCCCAAAGGCACTGGTGAGCGCTGCGCTGGTTGAGGTGGACCTAACTCCCGGGAGATATACTGGGGCACCCTAGGGCAGGACGCAGCAGCCCCCATCCCAGGCGTTCCCTGCTACCATCCGTCGAACTGAGATGTCCAACAACGACCAGTGTGAACCAGAAATGGAGACAGGGGACTATACCACGCTAGCAGTGCAAGGTTTTCTAGAAAAATGTGCCCAAAGTGGGGAGGAGAAGGGTGCTGATTGGCTCTTCTGGGACTTTGGAACAGCTCCCACCTGCTGTTTGCGGCGGCTGAGATGCGCCAGTTGGCTGGGTGGCCCAAGACTCTACAATTCATACTTCGTTAAAAACACAAAAACAAAATAAAAAAACCCAGGGTGTTGAGGACCCATTTTGTCAGGGACACCCTAGAGGACCCCTGGACTTGTCTCCACAGCAAGGGGGCCAAATGTGTCAGGCCACAAGGGCAGGAGACAGACGAAATAAAAAAGGGGGTGGGCTCTGAGGAAGAGATCCCCGCAAGCTTGCAGAGCCCTTGGAGATAAGGAGAAAGAAGGTCCCGTGTCCTGACTCAGATTTTGGCACTGGGCCCATCCCTCCGTTGACATCAGAGTTCAGGCTCACCATAAGCGGACAACCCTGGATGAGACACCTCCTCTCAGCCAGAAACCGGGATGGGTCAGCGGGTCCGTCATTTTGCTAAGTGGTACGTTTCCACACTCCCTGACCGTGTCCAACCCAGAGGAGGCACCCCGGGGGCCAGAATCTCAAGAGTTTTACTTAAAGGGTAAGCCACCCCCACCCCAAAAAAAGGCCATGCTGTTACAACTTATAGTAACGTCAGATACAGTACCGCAGACATTAGGTGGTACCAATGCCGTAGCTAGACACGAGAAAGAATTTTTCTGAAGCCCAAATCTCGTCTGCCGGTAAAGGTGAACAGGCCCCACTCCTCCTACAGCCAGGAACCCAACGGAGGGGCCCTAGGGGATACAGGGACTTCTGGGCCCCTTTTAGGTCCCCACTGAGGGGCGGCCTGCAATGTGGCTCCCTCCCATACAAGATGGCCCACGTGCCTCTCCATATTGGCAGCTCTGGAGATCAGGGACCCTGATGACTTCCTCTCGGGACAGCCAGGACCCAAGTTAGAGGCCTCTGCTCAGGTGCCGCAGACGCCGTCACCTCTTGGCATGGCCCAGCCCCGGCAGCAGGATCTGGGTCCCGTACCCTGACTTCTGAGAGGGGCGGCTACAAGGCCCCTGCCCAGGAACCCAGCAGTCTCCTGGAGCCTGTCCCTCCTCCAGGGGACAATTACCCGTATACTTCTCTGATTACCCACTGGGACACGTAAAAGAGAAATTTTACCGCTCTCGTCGACGCCTTCTGGGACCCCCTCTAAACATCAGTGAGGGGCACCCTTTAAATTACAAGGCGTATCAGGCAGGCTACGGAAAGCGTTCGACCTCCATTGGATGTGACCCACCTGCGGCACAGAGGTTGGGCTATCGCCCCACATAAGATTCAAGGGCCACTCACAAGTGTTAAATTTCTGGGCCTCAATTGGTCCTCTGAAGGCTGGGAAACTCCACTTGAGGTTAAACACTAACTGTCAACGCTTCAGCCCCCGCCATGCTGCGGCAAGCCCGCCGCGGCCTTCGCACTGCGGACGCATACCTTGCTTGCCACTACCCTCTCCGCAGCCACACGCGGAGCCCCCACGCTTCGGTGGGGAGGAGCCCAACAGCAAGCTCTGTAGCTGGCACGGAGGCCAACTCATCAGGCCCTCCAGCTCCTTCCTCCAGGTGGAAGCGCTGGCCACCACGGACCACGCGTCCCAGGACTATGGCCTAACCGCGGCTCCCTCTGGCTGCCCACGGGCTTCCAGACCGGAAGGCTGCACTCCACAGCCACCCGCTTCACCCCCAGAACTTCGTAGTCTGGCTCCTTAACGGGCTTTGCTAGAAACAGGGGCCCTCGCCGACCGGAGCTGCCATCCTCACGCTTCTAATCAGATCGCGGGCAAGGGATGGCTCCCCACGTGGCTCCGCGCAGCCACAGAGGCCCATTCCCGAAAGCGGACAGGGCACCCCCAGGAAGGAGCTGACTCTGCAGAGGCGGGTCTTTCCGGAGGGCAGGAGGACATGGCTTCCGAGGTCCTCGGCCCCCTGCCCACGGGCCGTGAGGAAGTGGTGACGGAGGCGCCCCCAGCCCCGCCTGGGCCTCTAGCAGGCCAAGCTAGCCGCCGCTAAGAGCTGGCGTGCGAGAGGGGAGTCCGGCTGCTCCGTGCACGGCAGCGCCGCCACCATCCGTGGCAGGGCGGGGCCAGCTCAGCTCGCTGGGCTCGCGGCAGCACAGTTGGCTGTGTAGAGCACTGCTGCCCGTGGCCGGCCTCTTGTCCGTGTCTCTGCTGACTCCTGGGCAGCTGCTGACAGGCTCGCGGTCCGGTCAGGCCGACGGCAGGGGGATGATTTTCACATCCCGTCTGGGGTGCTCCGTGTAGAGGGTAACGGGGCAATCAAAGCCTTTCGCACTTCAACACGAATGCTACCTCGAGGTGTTTTCCCTCGCCCGAATCCCAGTCACCATACACTTGGGGCTCTCGACCGGCTCCACCCACCCCTCAGCCCCCCGCAATCAGTCCTCAGCTCCACCGCGCCAGCCTTTCTTAGTTACCACTTCTTCACTCTTTATTCCTCGGCCTAATGGTCCCCAAAGGTCCCCTGTCTCTTTGGATCACGGGGTAGCTACCGCCACAATGGCCTGGGTGCACTGGGCGCAGGGCTGTCCTGCTCTGGGGGCACCTCTCACAAAATGCACCGCTTTGAATCGCAGATGACGTCCCCAAACCAAACGCTGGAAACTGCCGTTCTTTGGTCCCGGGAAGGGACGAGCCTCTTAGCTGCCGGCAGGTTGAATTCACTGGGCGGCTCCCTCCCTCCGTCCCCACTACCCACTTCACTATGACTTGTGTGATACTCGCACTGGTTTACAGCCTGCTACACCCACCCCGAACACCTCTGCGGGTAGGAGCCTCCCTGTCTTGCTTTTCTGAGTACACCCCGCTCCCATTCAGGCCTCCCAACACCACGGACTCGGATCCTCAGAGCAAGGATCTCATTTCACTGCCCAACAGGGCATCCGGTGAACTTTCATTTCGGCCACAGGCCTCTGGCATTACTGGATGCCACGGTGGACTTTGAGAATCCTCGCTCCTTAAGTTCCCGGGCAGTAGACGGCTCCTACGTGGACTTCCTCGCTGCCAGGGGCACCTGCCACTTGAAATGCTAAGCCCCAGGGGCGCCTGGGTGGCACAGTCGGTTAAGCGTCCGACTTCAGCCAGGTCACGATCTCGCAGTCTGTGAGTTCGAGCCCCGCGTCGGGCTCTGGGCTGATGGCTCAGAGCCTGGAGCCTGTTTCCGATTCTGTGTCTCCCTCTCTCTCTGCCCCTCGCCCGTTCATGCTCTGTCTCTCTCTGTCCCAAAAATAAATAAACGTTGGAAAAAAAAAAAAAATTAAAAAAAAAAAAGAAATGCTAAGCCCCGTGGCCACCGCTCTCCTCACACCCGGCCGCCGGGAGGGGCTCCCACCGCTGCTCTGCGGGAAAGAAGGTGTTGGCAGCGTCTTCAGACCAACCCCGGCTGACCCCGCACTTTGCGGTCGCAAGGCTGAGCTCCCGGGGGAGCCGACCGGCCGGGGTCGCGGTCGGCCAGCCTGACCCCCGCTACCTGCAGCAGCACACGCCGCACGTCCGCCTCGGTGTGCTCCGTGCTGAGCTGGCCCAGCAGGAGCTCTGCAGACAGCCGCTGGGCCACGAAGCTGGTCACCCGGTTGCCATCATAGCCGTTGAAGACCCCGTACAGGAAGCAGTTGTTCTCACTCCTGACAGAGAAGGGGGAGCAGCTTGAGACGGGGGGCTCGCAGAAGAGGGACGCCGGTTCCCAAGTGGAGGGGAGGAGGGAAAGGACTGGGGGAGACCAGAGATACAGCAGCGGTGGCTTCGGATGCCCACCGGGGTTCCCCCACTCTGACCATCATTCCACCCCGGCATGGCCTTCCAGGACACTCCCTGACACCACTGCAGCAGGCCCTCGGTCGGCCTGAGGTCCAGAAGTGCAAGGGACAGCAGGAGATGCCCCCCCCCGTGGGTCACAGCTCAGTGGCAAGCCCCACTCGGGACGGGTGCAAACTTGCCTCCGAGGCTCAGGAGGGCACTGCCGGCAAGGCTCACCTGAACTTGAGCCAGCTGTCCTCCGGTGGGTGGCTCTCGGTGCCCTTGCCATCAGCAGAGTAGCTGCGGTTGGAGGCTGAACCAACCCCAGAGAGGTGGCAGAGCGGCAGGTCGTCTGTCCAGCTCGGCTGCTGCTCCTGAGGACACCAGGAAACCAGAAAGTGTCACCTCCTTCATGACGACGGACCCCACCTCACCTTCTTTCTCTTCCCCAACAGACACATAGCAGCTCCAGAGCCCCACAGACGGTTCTGCTTCCTTCCGGAAAACAGTGCTTGGATGAACAAACACCTGCAGAAGGGTTTGCATGTTTTTATGGGTAGTCCACAATGCCGTTCCCCAGGAAACCTGGAAAAAACTAGAGTTCCCAAATTCTAGGCTCAGCAGTGGTTTCTAAGCACGAGCTGTGTTACGAAACATGAGTGAGACACACAAAAGAAGCAGTCTCTTGGGAGAAAGCTCTTTGGTGGCTCCCCACCGCTCCCTGCCGTGGCTCTGACTCCAACCCCTTGGGCACCAGTTAAAACTGGAGATTTCCAGGCCCAACCTCCAGAACGTCTGATCCTGGTGGGGCCCAGGATGCCTGCGTCGCAGGCAGCTCCTCCCAGGTGGCCGATTCGGGAGGCCCGACGGCGCTCGAGAAACTGCCTTTACAAGCCAGTTTCAGTCATATGCCATGCCCTTGGCATCTCTCCCCTCGGTCCCTGCTCTGCTCTGGCACCCTCTCGCATCTGCTCCGTGCCACATCCCTCTCTCCCAGTACAAGTGCCTGCAGCACCTCACTCTTTTTCCTCTGCAAGAATATACTCCTTATCCTTGTCTAGCAATTCTCCATGTCCTTCAGAACTCTGGCTCAGGAGTCACCACCTCCAGGAAGTCTTCCTTCAGGAAGACCCCCTCCCGCTGCCACTGCTCTGGCTCGGCTGACAGCCCTTCTCATGCACTCCTCCTCCACCTGGCTCCCCTACTCCTGCCTGCCTGCATCTGACTGCCTTTCTACCCCTTGGATCTCAAAACAGGCAGTCCAGCTTTAAACCTCACATACACGCGTGAGCACTTATGCAGAGCCGTCCAGGCCCAGCCCAAACACAGATTCTGAATTTCCGAAATCTCCTGGGAGTGCACTCCGAAGTCCCAGAAACGGCTCTGACACAAGGCCCAGGTATGAGCCATTTTTCCTCACTGAAAGCCTCCCCATACCAGGCCCCTATCTGAGAGCTGTGCCTGGTTCCCAAGAGCCTTCCCAGGACCACCCGGCCTGGAAATGATGGGGAGCGTCGAAGGTCAACTGCAAAGAGGGTAACACTTGGATCGAACGGAACGCTGTACTGAAATATTCAACAGGCAGGTATCCTGCGCACAATTTCTTGTAAGGTCGTAGTAAGTCTTCAAAAAAGGATGTGAAAACCACTTCAGCAGGCTCTTGCAATCAGATATGCAAATGGCCTGTGGTTAGCTTTTGTGGCAAATTTTATCTTCTGTTTATTTACATACTGACAGTGAGTGCCTTTATGGTTTTTTAAAATTGCTTTGATGCTGCATTGATTCTAGCGGGTTCGTTCTGTGTTGCACCCTGGAGCAGCTTCTGCAGGGTGCAGGAGTTTATTTTTATTTTTAAATTAACATATAGTAAAATGGACTTTTTTTTTGGAATGCCGGTCTAGGAGTTTTCACACGTGTTTTGGGTGATTGCCGCCACGGGATCTGGGAAGAGCCCCATCATCCCAAAACGTACCCGTGAGTTGCCCCTTCGTAGCCACCCCTCCCGTAACGCCCAACAAGTAGACTTGTGCTCAGTCACTACGTTCGCTGTCTTTTCAAGAATCTCCTAAGTGAAATTAGGCAGTACGTGGCTTTTTTTTTTTATTGTGATGAAACACACATAGCAAAATTCACCATCTTAATCGTTTTTGAATGTACAGTCCGGTGGTACTAAATACATTCGGCGTTGGGCGGCCAGCCCTGCCATCCGTCCCCATAGCTCTTTCCCTCCTTTTGTAAATCTGAAACCCTGTCCCCACTAAACACAAACTCCCCTCACTTCTCCAGCCCCCGATGCCCACCACCACCACACTCCAGGTCTTGTAAGGCATAACCTTTTAAGACCGGTTCCCCTCACTCCGCATGATGCCTGCCTTGGAGACCAACCCCCATCCCCCCCCACCCCAAGTCACTGTGGGCGACAAGTCTGTCCCTTCATCGCAGAGAGCCTCCCGTCAGATGGATGCAGAAGCCTGTCCACTCATCCACTGAAGGGCATCTGGGCTATTTCCAGTTTTCGGCAATTATGAAGAGAGCTGGCATAAACGTTCACGGGCAGGTTTTGGTGTGAACATAACATTTCACGTCTCTGGAGTAGTGATGAGACTGCGGCTTAATTTTGTAAGAAGCTGCCAATCTGTTTCCCAAAGCGGTGTACCATCTGCATTCCCACCGGTAACGGGCGAGAGTTCCAGGTGCTCCACACCCTCGCCCCGCTGTGGTCCTATTAAACGCAGACATTCTGAGAAGTGTGCAGCCGATGCCATCGCGCCTTTGATTTGCATTTCCCTAACGGCTAATGACAGCGTTGAGCATTTTTTCATGTGCTTATTTGCCATCGACACAACTCTGGAGAAGAGTCTGTTGTAAGTCTTTTTTTGTTTGTTTTTTAGAGAGAGCAAGTGCTAGTGGGGGAGGGGCAGAGAGAGAGGGAGAGAGAATCTCGAGCAGGCTCCGTGCCCAGCGCAGGGCCTGCCGTGGGGCTCAGTCCACCATGAGATCATGACTTGAGCCAAAATCAAGGGAGATGCTGAACCGAATGAGCCACCCAGGTGCCCATTATGCCAATTTTTTAATTGGGTTATTTGTCGAGTTCTGAGAGCCCTTTGTGCTTTTTGGACCAAGTCCTTTGTTGGACATGTGATTTGCAAGTATGTCTTCCCAGTCTGTAGTTTGTCATTTCATTCACTTCCTGGTACCTTTTGCGAAGCAAGTTTTTAGTTTCTATGAAGTCCATTTTATCAGCTTTCTCTCTCATGGTGCACACTTCTGGTGTCTTAAGAATTCTGCCCAGCCCCTGAGACCTTCTAGGTTTTTCTTCAGATAGTTTCACGGTTTTACATTTAGACTTGTGATCCATTTGGGGTTAATCTCTGCATAAACCAGGAAGTTTCGGTCTAAGTTGTTTTGGGTTTTGTTTTGCACATACAGATAGCCAACTGTTGTAACACTGTTTCTTGAAAAGACTGCCCTGTCTCCATTAAATTACCTCTGCACTTCTTTCAAAAATTAACTGGCCATACTCATGTGCGTCTGTCTCTGGACTCTAGTCCGTTCCATGGATCCAGGTGTCTATCCTTCCACCAATTCCATGCTCTGGATTACCATACCTTTATAAATCTAGAGTTTAAATCTGTATATAAGCCTATATTATAAAATCTACAACTTCTTTATAATCTATATTATAAAATCGGGTAGTGGGTTGCCTCTAATTTTATTCTTTTTCAAAACTGTTTCAGCGATCCTAGCTCCTTTGCCTCCCACGTAAATTTTAGAATTGGCCTGTCTATATCTACACTGAAGACTTGCTGGGATTTTGACTGGAATTGTTTATAGATCAATTTAGGACATCTGACATCCTCACTGTGCTGAATTTTGCGATCCACCAACATGGTATGTCTTTAAATTTACTTACGTCTTCTTTATAGGACATCTACACAATTTCACCACAAGGGCTGAAAAGCCACTTGAAAACAAAAAATGTGACCAAAACCTAGCCATAGAAAAGAAACAGCAAGAGCTGAAATTCTGTTCAGCTCCTGACGACACCAGGCACTCAGCACTTTTAGGTCAAGTGACATACGGGAAGAAAAGTTGTCACAGTAACACAAATTGTTTCTAGCTGCAATCTCGACCTGTCTCATTTGAGAGTGATACAAATGTCTCTCTTAATATAAATGTGAAATTAATTAGGTCTTTGGACTCCACATATGACATTATGCAATTATAGTGTATTCAATTAATACCACCATGTATTCAATAAACATCTACGGGGCATTTATACAAGGCTGACATCATTCTAGGCACTGGGGCCACAGTGCAGGACATAATTGAGGGTCCTTGTTTGAAGCCTCCTTTCTAGGGAAAGAGAAACTTCCAACATGTTAATATAATAAATATTGTATTACAATACAATATTACAATACAATACATATTACAAAATATTTCAGACAGAGATATGAGCCACAGAAAAAATAATTAGGGTAAGGGGACAGAGAGTGATGGTGAGGGCTTTTAGATGAAATGGTCAGAAGAGGCCTCTCCAGGGGCCCCTGGGTGGCTCAGTCAGTTGGGCATGAGACTCTTGATTTCGGCTAAGGTCATGATCTCACAGTTCATGAGATCAAGCCCCACCTTGGCTCTGCTCTGATAGGGTGGAGCCTGCTTGGGTTTCTCTCTCTCTCTCTCTCTGCCCCTCCCCTGCTCACTCTCTCTCAAAATAAATAAATAAACATTAAAAAAAAAGAAGAGGCCTCCCTGAAGAGGTGACCTCTGAGCCAGACCCAAATGATCACGGAGCAGTAGCCCTTTCAGAAAGTGGGAAAGGGGCCTTCCAAGCAGAGGAAATGGCATGTGCAAAGACCCTGAGGTAGCAAAACAAGTGTGTGAGGTTTAAGTAAATGCAAGAAGGCCAGCATAGCCTCTGCAGTGACCAGAGGGGAAAATGGTTTGCTCGTGTTCATATACATGCGTGTGCCTATGTGCCTAGGTGGGGACAGGGTAGGGCCTTCCTTCCATGCCACTGAAAAGAGTTCACTGCCAAGGAATTAATTATTTTTCAACGAACAGCTTTGTTGCCAATTATCGCTTAGGTCTTAGGTCTGGTTAGCATGCCTCCACTGTCAGAGACCTCACAAAGGTTGGGCAACTTGGCAAATAAATTTCCCAAAGAATCTTTTTCTAGGGTCTGTCTCCTGCCTGCAACTCAAATGAAACTAAGCAAAAGATTAAGCACAAAAAGCATCTCCCCAGTCTGGAGTGTCTCAGGTCCTCCTCCTGAAAAGATGGGTCGAGACCACTATTCAGCACCCTGAAGCGCCACAGCTGTTTTGAAGCATGCAGGAAAAGATGTTCATTCATACTTTTTAGAATCCTA